AATATTACCGTAATGCATCCTTTTACCCTCTGTGCCTTCTTCGCAGTATGAGGCAACCATTTTGGAGAACACACAGAATGTTGAGGTGATGAGGCTCAAAGCAGAAGACCTGGACGAAGAGAACACAGACAACTGGGTTGTTGTTTATGAAATCGTCAAAGGGAACGAGGCCGGATATTTCAGCATAAAAAAAGATCCCATAACCGGCGAACACATCTTAATGCTTGATAAGGTATCCTGCTATTCTTTTTCTTCACATCCACAACTTGTAATCTCAAGGCACCTACCAGAGAATAATCAATTATCATCCAGTCAGATTAGTTCAAAGTTTTCTGTCTAACTGACTTGTTGCAGAAGAAAGACGAGGCCTTTTTAATGTTATTTAAAGGCCTGGTACATTTTACAATGCAATAAGCTACTGCATTTTAAAGATCTGTCTCTTGCATTTTTGTCTTTTATATTCCCAAATAAGCGATTAACATGGAGTTTATAAATTGCACAAGTATGCAAAAAGTAGCAGAAACAAGTATGAACGAGGGAGGAAAAATAGCATGGCTACAACTTGCGACTTTAATAATCACCAAGCTGTCTACTACACTAATGCCTGATGCCAAAGGTAGTCGTTCATTTTAAGATACCATAGCTAAACTGCACCTTCAATTCGGCAAACAGTGAGGGTTAGGTCCCTAGATGCCCTAGCATCTTGAGACACCATCACGATGGTTTAGCATTGATGATGTCATTAGTCTGACAGAAATCAGGAAAGTAAACAATGGAGAGCAACATGTAAGGCCGGGCATACACTGTACAATATATAATATCGTTCTACTCGGCTACAGCTCAAACTGTACAACGAAACTACAGGGTTTAAAAGTTCACGGATCACAAAATCTGTTAGAAATAGAAATTGACCTTGGTTGATTTCACAATGGAAAAATTCACTCTCTGCATCTAATCCCTCCCCTTGGGGAGCAGTGTGCTTCCATTGTTTGGCACCAGGGGAGCAGAGTGGGATTAATGGTCTTACTCAGGGACCCAGAGTGGCAGTCGTTGGGGATCGAACTACTAACAACCTTCTTACAACCTTCTCAGAGCACAGCCCACTGCTCTAACCATTAGGTCAACACTCCTCTGACTGTTCTTAACCTATACAACCCCATGCTCTGATGCGATCTACCTGCACACACTTTACGTCCAAAAAAGAGACGTTCAACTCAGTGCCGAGAGATTGCGTTGGTCGCTCTCGGCAATCTGAACGATGAAGAATTCCCTCGTTTGCACATGCGCAATACGCAAAGTTCTGGTAAATCAGCTCTTAGACACTCATAGCTCTGCTTCCATAGCAGGATTTGCCCATGAACTCCTCACGACGGCCGGCCTAAGATTCCCAATCAGGAGGTGGCCGTGAGAGGCTGATTGCAGGATGAACGATGAGGCCGAAACCCTGCCCGATCCCAAAAATTCTCGCAGGACTGGAAAATTGGCCCAAAAAGGGCAAAAACTCCTGCAGTGTATGCCCTGCTTAAGTAAGCTAGGGTGTTTTAAGTGTGCTGTATTATTTGGCTATTTTGTCCCTCCTAATGTCTCTTACCAGTGCTGCTTCATGTTTATTGAATGCTAGCAGAGTTTTTTCGCCTTGCTATATCGGACGCAAATGACGGGATGTTTTGACATAGGCTTGTTGCACTCAGTGGTATCACATAAATTAGCGGATGGACCTGGGTCTGGTGCTCCCACTGCATCCCAAATGGAGCTGACCTGTTTGAAGGCGATTTTAGCCCAGGTTGTTTTCCGAGTCGTTTGACCTGGTCGAAACCAGTCAGTGAGCAATTCCCACTGTACCTAACAGCTGGATGTTCCTGGGTTTTAACAGGGGTATAAGAGGTCCAACCACTTTCTCTTATTGATGGTATTACAAAAATCTGCAGTTTTTAAACAACTACTTTTTCATACTGAGTGATATTGTGAAACTGGAAACCAGCGCTAGTAGCTACTTGACAAATTTTAAGACAACTTGGCTTCAAACATTATCTTTCCCCCTTTCAATCTAAAATCAACTTTAAAAACAAAAGCAATAGACTAAAAATTTCTGACATCAGATGCATTGAAAGTACAAATTATTATAGGGCTTCATCAATGTTTATTGCCTTGTTTACTCTTCCTTTATCAATAGAAGAGCGCAAAACACTTAAGGAGGATGAAAACTTTGAAAGAGTTTGGTTTTAAAGAAGAGAAAGTGTAAAGTTTCTGTACTCTTCAGGTTCAAGTCTTTTGATTTTTGATGGATTGGAAAATGTCTATTCCCAGAATCAAGAACATCCTATAAAACTGCAAATAGACATAAGATTTCAATAAACTTATAAAAAAAAAGTGATAATCTGCATCTGCGCCGTGTCTCCCCATGTTAGCATTGTGGAACTTGCCTTTCAAAAATGATTTGGTGGAGAGCAGGTCTTGGCCTCCAGGGTGTACAGATGCCAGAATCGATACTACAAGGCCGAATGCGTTTATTTATACATGCCACAGTGTAAATACTCCACAAGTTTTTGTTTCTCTCTGTTATTTTCCAGGCTGTGGACTTTGAGGATGTAAAAAACCTGAACCTAGGGCTAGCGGTGCGCAACAAGGCCCCCATGTTTAACGGATCTATTCCCAATGGTGGAGCTAGTATTGGTTTTGGAGGAGGTCCCAGTGGTCCCAGTGGTGCCTCTGGTGCCAGCGGCTCCAGCAGCTCCTCTGGAACCGGTGGATCCGGTGGAAAATTCAAAACCTATCCAATCAAAATCAATGTGAAGAACCAGGCAGAAGGACCACATTTTGAACCAGCAGTCAAAGCTATTCCAGTCACAGAAGGAAGCGAGTCCTTCACCGTTGGTCAAGTCATCTCCAGTTATCCTGCAATG